TACAAGAAACTAACTGACCCCGTGAGAACTTGCAAGGAGGTTTTGAAGTGATGAAGGTTTTGATAATTTTTATGTAAATAAGGAACTTACCACCAATATATGATGACTTTTAAAAATTATACTCATTTAGAATTATATGGTTGTCAAGTGCTTTATGAAGACATTCATGGGAAAAGATGCTTATCAAGTATCTTATGCAAACTTTAAACAAGCTAAGGTAGCTCATATTGTAGAAAATATAGAATATAATCACATGCAGAAGATCCTTTGACAACAGAAATAAAGCCGAAAGTTCACATAGTGATGTGTTACATTGGCAGAGACATCAAATCCACCTAAATACCAAAAAATGCATCGCCACCTGCATGTAGGTTTTGGTTTGCCTGCTTCCCCTATTGACAATTGACCCTGGTAAGAAAGTTCTAACAGTAATGTTCTTTATGTTTTGACTGAACCATCGCTGACCAGGCTAACCCTCTAAGCTATGAATAAATTGCTTTTTGTTGTATATTTTCTCATTAGAGTTTGGTGATTTGTGGTTTGTTTGCTTATATTGTAACAAGTTCACAAAATTCATAAGACAAACAACATTGTGAAAATGTCTGCAGTCTGATGCTGAGAGGTGCCGGAGAAGAGATGAGATTGATTGTACCTGAATGCTTATTGTGATGTTCTTACCTTACATTTTTTAAATGATTGAGAAGTTTCTATGTGCAACTTGGTAATCTTTTGATAGATATGAAGTGGAAAGGAGAGCAAGGGTGTAAAGTAGTTATTTGGTAATCCATCAAATGTGGCACACAACAATCATACTCATGCAAACTCCATTGATGCTTGACTAAGTAGAAGTTTCCTAAAAGATTATGATTCATTATTACAGTGTCATGGTTGAATCATAAATTAACATTTGAAGTATATTGAATTCCATAACTTATGCTTGAACTTTATTGATCTATCAATGATTGTAACACTATCTTTTCAACAAAGAGTGATAATTGAACCATGTGGAATCATGTTCTGTAGAGTAACAGAGTTACCATTTTTGTTTAATAGAGAACCTCAAGATAGTAAACTATAACAAAACAAATACAAGACTTTGATTTGAACAGAGTCACAAGGGATTGGTGTGTAACTTATGCTTGTAGTATTATATAGTTGTATTGTTGTTCGAACACTATTTATTTCAAAAATAAAAAATTGTTGTTTGGAAGCTTCTAGCTTTAATACTATTTGGTTTATGACAAGTGTAGTAAATGGTGGGCATTAGCATTGTAATAATCTATTAAATTAAATTATAATAGAGAATCATTTTTCTCTTTTATCTTCCTGCCTATTTTTTACCTCAAGCATATCTTCTTTTTAAATTGTGTTAGTAAAGAAGTAGTGTACTGATGCTGTAAAGAAATAGTTTACTTCATTCTCTGGAAGGTTTGGAAACTGAATGTAAGGACAAAATTACTTGGGTTCTTAACCTGGTGTTGAAAAATATTACACAACTGTATCAATGATTGTGGAAAGTTTGATGATTCATTCTAGGGAATAATAGACTGTAAGAGATTAGAGCTTCAGATGTCAAGGCAGCTTTCTATCAAATTGTGGAAAGAAGTCTTTTAAAAAACGGTGTAGGAAAGTGGAAATTCCTAGAAGAACTAATATTTCGAGTATGGTGGACTGGACTCTAATAGTCGTGCATCTGCTATGAAAGAAATTCATTGTTTGAATCTTCTGCTTTAGTTATTGAATCTCTCATTTCCAGCATCTTTGTTTTATTATTAGGAAAAGTGCAGTTTTACTGCCATAGTCTAATTCATACCTGTGGTTTTTTCCTTTTTTGGTTATAGTTCAATCCATATGGTTTATTTTTTGCCATTTTATATCAAATGGCTAATTGTCAGGAGCAGCATGTTTGAATTGTAATAAGGCCAAACAACAGAAGATAAACCTGTAGATTGCCCTAATTGTTATTTATTGGACATGTTCTAACTTTTGTTGCCAGTTCTTTAATGTCAATAATGCAATTACAATCAACAGAGCTCCTGGATTCATGTAACTGTATATAATATCATCTTCGTTCATGTAATTTGATGCATCTACTCACATAAGCCTTGATGATTCTAAATGGGTCAGCGGCCTTTCTGCGAACGATGGAAGATGCTTGAGAAGGAAGTGATTGAACCTCGGAATTATGAGCGCCATCACATTTTTCAGAGCAGAAATCCTCACTACAGATATGACCTTGAGCCTTTCAGGGTATATGTGTAGAACTTTGCTGTGGGATTTCAACTGTTTGTGTCTTCGTCCTTTTTCCTGTATTTTTAGAGGGATTGAATTTTGACTTACTGAACTTGATTATCAGGTGCGAAGGAAGGACTTTTGGCCTCTTTCAACTGTTATCAAACTTCTAAGGGAGTTTATTCCTAAGCTCTCACATGATGCTGATGGCTTAATTTTTCAGGTAATAAAGGAGAAAGCAAATTGGAATATGAAATTCTTTTCATTTTTAAGATAATGTGACCTAGAAACTTTTTACATGAATCATGCTCTACTGCATCATTGTCCTGTTGGTATTCTAGCATTTCTTTATTTCCATGTGTACACGCACATGCAATACCATAAATAGAATCATGCTTTATATAAGCTGGGACAAAGTAATTGCTGATATTCTTATTTTCCAGGGTTGGGATGATCCTTATGTTCCTCGTACACATGAAGGTCTCTTAAAGTGGAAATATCCTGAAATGAACTCAGTTGACTTTCTTTTTGAGGTTATATTATAAACATTTGTCAGATTAATTGTTGGCTTCATTTATCTGTTGCTTCTTTCCAAATTTGTATACTTTTTTGTTGTAATGCAAAAAGTTCCATGTCTTGACAGATGGATGCTGATGACCGCCAGATGCTTATTCTTCATGAACGAGGGAAGAGGAAACTTATGGAAGGGAATACTGTTGTGTTCAGAGGTTGGAATTATTTTTCTCCCGGAGTTTCTTCTTGTTGTTTGTTGATATCTTAGCTAATGCATTTCTTGAATTTGATCTCAAATTTGAATATGCAAAATTTGTGAATACCTTGTCGTGACATGTAAATCAATGGTATCTGACTGCTTGTAAAGTTTGCACGGGAAAGAATTTGAAAAATCTGGTGAAATATGTATACTTTGTTGAAGATTAAGGCTTCATGTGGTATATAAAAATGTTTTCTTGTTTTTAATCTCAAAACTTATAAGTATTTCATCTACAAAGCCCAATTAGTTTTTAACAATGAAAAGAACAATAGTGAAAACGATGGCGAAATTAGAAATTTTAAAACCTTTTTTGTGATTTTTTCAAGAAAACTATTTTGTTTGTGCCTTGGTTACTTCAAAAATGGGCAACTCTAACATGTTTTTATGATAAAATTAAAATATGCACAAACAGATATGATTTAAAAAATGAAAATTAGAAAATGTTTTATTTAGCTTAGCTTTTCTATTTATGTACAAAGTCTATAGTTGTTCCCAAAGTAACAGTTCTAAGCCCTTCTTAATTTGGAAAGCTATTTTAAACAAAAACGTACGTATTTCCAATTTTAAAAAATGGTAGTAAGAATAAAATCGCAATTAAACAAAATCTCATTCTATATTTTCACTACCATTCCCCAAGCCTTGTTTTCATTTTTCAACTATATCTCTTGTTTATGTACAAATATACATGACAAAATGAAGGCACAAAACGAAAACTCAAAACAGTTCCTCACAACTAAACAGGGCCCTAATATTTCTGTATGAAAGAAATACTTTCAAAAAAATGTTTCTGTATGAAAGAATCTTTTTGGGCATACTAGTTACTGGTGAATAATATTTCTATTCAATAAATGCATTAATATAGTGCTCAAAAGATTGGCTGTGGCAGATGGGGGGGAGGATTTGTAAAAAGAAAAAGTACCTTAATATTATACTTTTGACTATTTTTTGGGTGGCGTGGAAGGAAAGAAATGCTAGAGGTTTTTGAGGGCAGAGAGGAGTTGATGTCAAAGGTTAGGGATTGGTGGTTGCACATATTTGGATCTATTATTTTGGGCATGATATCTATAGGTTCGAGGATTTTGGGAGTGTTATTGATATACTACTTGATTTGTAAATCTTTTGTACAGAGGTAGCACCCCGTTGGTGTCTTTACTTAATACTATTCATTCTTTTTATTTTTTTTAAAAAAGATTCGCTGTTGCAGATAGGTCTCAGACAAACAATCTTCCAGCTATTGCTGGAACTGATCTTTTCTACCCATTGGAAATTTTTTTTTGAATTAAACTACCCATCGGAATTAAGTGGAGACTAACAGGATTATCTGGTTACAGTCTTGTTATTTCAGTTTCCTGCAATTTAATTTATGCTGGTGTTTTGCCATTTATTGTGAGGAAATATCTTTGTAGTTTGCAAATATTTGGACTTGCATGCATATGCATAAACGTGTTCTCAACTGTTCCACATCTGCTTGTGAAAGGTTAAGGCTCGGAATATTGTTCAGTAGAACTAAGCTTTGGAAGATCTGAAATAGGTGTGATTAGGAGTTTCTACTATAATGATGATATGTTTAATTTTTGAACCTTTTAATGTTTGACAAAAATATTGAATTAAAAATACATGGGAACTAGCAGAGAGGAGAAACTTGTGAATTTTCGAACCTTTTAATGTTCGAAAAAAATATTGAATTAACAATACATGGGAACTAGCAGAGAGGAGAAACTTGTGAAGTATGTCAAATCATGGTAACTATCCCAGTGCTTCTCTCTTCACCCCTGAATTCTTTGTTATTTGGCTGACTGCCTGGAATTAGCTTCTCCTTTGTCCTAGGACTTTTCTTCTTTAGGTTTCCTTCAAGAATTCAGTGGTAAGTGCTTCTCTCAAATTCTTTTATTTTGTAGATTTTTAAGATTATTGCTTCTCACATCCCCATTAGGCTAGCAGTTGAATTTTTGAGAATGTGTTTGCTTCCTGCTTTGAGCTGAATCTTTTCTTCTTTGATGTTTAGTGCATTTTGCATTCTTTGTCTTGGTTCCTTTCTGGCTTCCTGCTATTTGAGAGAGATCCACTGTTCTCTTCTGGGTAAAGAGTCTCATAATTTTTTATTCTGAACATTGACACCCCTAAGACATGTAAACTGGCAGATGGTTCAGATCCTGCCTCATACTCGGGGAAGATTATAGAGTGTTCTTGGGATTCAGATGAACAGGTGTGGGTATGCATGCGAATTCGGACAGATAAGTCAACTCCAAATGATTTCAATACCTATAAGAAGGTTGGTTTCATAACATACGATTATATTAATTTTTGTGTTAACTTGTGGACTGAACAAAATCTACTTTGCTGATGAGGGGAACAGGTGATGCGGAGCATAAGAGACAATATCACAGAGGATGTGTTGTTGAATGAGATTTTTGAGATTATTCGCCTGCCAATGTATGCCGATAGGATATCCAATGATAGCAAAGCTCACCAGCATGTAAATTCAGCACGCCATGATAGCAAATCTCACCAGCAAGTGAATTCAGCACGACGCAGATGAGAGGTGTCTGGTATTCAATGTGTTCGAATCTGATACAGGTTGTACCTTAAAATATCTGCACACAGGTCATTGCTGGTTTTACTTGGCAGAAGTGGGTTGTACTTAGGGTAAATTACCGGAAGGGCTTCACAGAGAGATATTTGTGTAATTAGCTATCCCTTTCTATAGCATGTGCTATTCTGGTCAGCTGTATGGTCCAGTTGGTACACTTAATAGTTATCGATATCAGGTTAAAAAGGATTTTTCTGGTAGTTTTTTCAGATGGAGAGAAGTAGGTTAGAATGTATATTAGTATTTTGTCCCTTTTAATGTAGTAATTGCTAAGTTGATTACAAGGTAGTTATTTTTTAGTACAAAACCTTGTTTCACAATTAGGATTGTTATATGCTCTTTCATGTGAATATGGCTTTGAGATTTTTTTTCTCTTTTGAGATGGCAGTGGTGGACCATCTGAATTACATGCTCCTTGTTTTAGGATATGATTGGCTTTGCATTGTTCGAACGTATTTGCAGAAATGAATTAACATTTCAAATCTTAGCTTTGCAGCTCCGCCAGCTCTTCGATTAATGGTGGTTTCATGTTATCGCTTTATAAATTAAAATATACTTGTATCTTTTAATGACTTGAAATATTTTTTTAAGAAATTTAATGGAATTATTACCATATTAACAAATTTTAAAATAATAATTGCATTTAATTTGATAAATTTATGCACTCGATTAATTATATAAATTGATCTCCAAATGAAAATTAGCATTTAGAATAACTTTATGTTTTTGAGGACGATAATTTTAATATTTAACCATAAAGTATGTGTTGTAGTAAATTTATCAAAAGCATTAAGCATAACATGAGGTTTCCTAATAGAATTAGTAACATAAGTCACAGTTTTATTAAAGTAAAGAAAAAGTAGCAATTCCATTAACTACAGATTTCACCAAAATCAAATTGAAATTAAAATCTTCAAGTAAAAATTATACTAATCACTGTTTCTAAAAATTATGTTGAACCTAAAACTTGTTCAAAATTGTATTAACTATTTAATTAAAAATGTATCTAAAAAAACAATTTAATAACTGTATATATGAAATAAGTTCTGTGATAGATAAATCTAATACATCTTGATTTTAGAAATAAATTAAGACTAAATTAACAATTCTACTACATTAATTATTATTTAGTTGAATCATTATTATTTTTTAAATTTACCAGCAATTATAGATTTAAACATAATTATTTTTTTAATATAATATTATCTTAAAATTAGTTTGTACATATTATTTAATTAATAAAATATATAAATTTTTTAGTTTTAATCAATATTTCGACAGCGACTTATATGCTTAGTAGAAAACTTTTGCAAATTTATTTATGCATTTTTTACACACAAATTTATTTATTTAAAATAGAGTTGAAGAAAAAATATCACAGAAAAGCCAATTTCTTCTCACGACTGTTTTTGGAGGCCACATCACAACAGTATTCCGGACTCGCTTCGGCTCTGGGTACTGCTTGTTCGCTTCTTACAACGCTAGCAGATCCTCGGAACCCTACCTGGGGTTTAGTCATCCTACTCAAATTCACAACCCATTTATTTTCTTCAATTTATAAAGCTAAGCTGATCGACCATTTCCTCTTTCTATCGTTTCGGCAAAAACGGAGACGATCATATGAAATCCTCTGCGATTACGGTTCTGTTAATTTGTTTGCTTCTGGACATTTGCTTAAATCGCTCTCATGGAGATGAACCGAAAAGCAACAAGTTTCGGCAGCGACAAGCTACTGATGATGAGATTGCTTATGCCGAAGTGTGAGTTCCTCTCTTATGCTCATCGCTGTTCCTTCAGTTCAAGCAATTGAATGTTAATTCTTCCAATCTGGTCTCAATTGGCCGGGTTTCTTTTTTCATTTTTCCTATCGGGTTAGGAGTGGTTAGATTGATTTACTATCTTGTTTCACGTCGAAGGTCTTTTAAGGAGTTGTAGAAATTTGTTTTATTTGATTTGAATAAACGTGATTTTGGTTTCTGTATGAGTTGTACAGAGACGAGGATGCTTTATTGAACACACAGTGTCCTAAAAATTTGGAGCTCAGATGGCAAGCAGAAGTCAGCTCTAGCATATATGCTACCCCCTTAATCGCTGATATCAACAGGTAAAATTTTAATCCCCCTCGGTGCCATCCATATATGTTCTCATGTTTTTCAATCTCCTCCTAGCTTTCACCGTTTTATCCAAATTGCTTCAGTTTGTATCTGAGTTCTTTTTCCTTTCAATTAGTTTCTTCCAGAAGTCAAATCATGAAGTAGCACAAAGATTTGATTTTAATTAGTTGTCCCTATCCATATTGAGTTTTGTTGATTGAACTTACCTAACTGCAATGTTAGTGTTTGTTGTTCTTTAGTGATGGGAAGCTTGATATAGTGGTTCCCTCTTTTGTTCACTACCTTGAAGTCCTTGAAGGTTCTGATGGAGACAAAATGCCGGGTACAGACTGCTTTATCCTCTGCTAGAGATGCTAGTTATTGATTCACATATTTTCTGGGCGTACCATGATGTTAAAAAATAGTTATTAAATAGATTGGTTTCCCATGATACGCTGATAAAGTAGAAGAAAAGGGAAGGGGATAATACGTAATAGTTGAGCTATTAAGAACATTAAAAAATACACCTTTGATGTACTCATATATGTCTTAATCATTTGACTTAAAGGAGATGTGTCTGGTGTAGTAAACCCTTAACATATTTGTTCAATAATTTATCAGGTTGGCCTGCTTTTCACCAGTCAAATGTGCATGCAAGTCCCCTTCTATATGATATTGATAAAGATGGTGTGAGAGAGATTGCTTTAGCTACATACAATGGTGAAGTACTTTTCTTCAGGTATTTGTTCAATATAATCAGACTGCATGTTCCTTGAGTTCTTGTCAGTCCTCATCCCTTAGGTACTAGTATGCATACATGTCCTGACTTACTAATCCAGTCAACAATAAATTTTCAGGGTGTCAGGCTACTTGATGACAGATAAACTGGAGGTGCCTCGTAGGAAAGTTCGTAAAGATTGGTATGTGGGCTTGAATCCCGATCCTGTTGATCGTTCTCGTCCTGATGTTCATGATGATGAACTTGTCCAGGAGGCGGCTGATATGAGGTCATCATTGACTGGTAGGTGGTGCCAGCACTGTTACTGCTGCTTCTGACCTCACTTTTTGTGTTTAATATCTAATTTTTCCATTGAAGAACTCCAGTATCATTATTGGCATAAATTTTTTTATTAAAAATTCTCAGCTGTCTTATTTTCTCTGGCTACATGTATAATATGGCATGCTAATGGTTTAGAACCATGTAAATTGGAAGAATATCCACTGCATATCTTGATGGGAAACATTAATTATCTTTAGAGAAACTTGTATTTCTATTTATGCTTTTGTATGTTGTGTATTGTCTTCTGATTCAAAATAATTTGTTCCTCCTGCAAAAAAAAAAAAACTCAAAATAATTTGTATACTCTGGGATTACAAGGTTTTCTCTATTTATTTACTCCTAAGGGAACATTTTGTGCTATCTAATTGAGGTGGTAGACAATACAAAAAGTCTAGTTGTATGTTTGGTGGCATCAAAAGTAAATTAGGACAGAACAAAACTTTGTATTTGAGGAGCAATTTAGTTTCTTCCAATACCATAGGATTGGTTGTTCTTGAACTTTTGAGAAACCATATCTTTTAACCACCCAAGTTTACCCTGACAAATTTACATTAATTTTTAATTAAATCTCCCCTTACATAAATATAAATCTCCCAAATTGATTTTTTAAAATTTTTTACCACTTCCTCTTTTGGATGGTTTAGCATCTATTATGTCATTCTTTTTTTGCTTTAAATTTAAATTTATTATGCTAACTATTGAACACATACAATGTTTAATCTAAATTACTTTTACAATTTAAAAATATATAATTTTTTATTTAACTTTGAAAAGTGTAACAATTAAACAAAATACATCACGAATATGTTTGCATAATTGTATAGTATATCTTGTTCTGTTCAGTGGTTAGCAAACGTGCAATGGCACAAGTTTATGTGGTGTAATCCTATGCATACCAAATGTGCAGTTTTTGTTTTATCCAATTCCCATCCATGTTGTTCTATGTTTTTCTATTCTAATTTTACACTGAACACTAACTATAGTTTTCTCTACTTGTGAGAACTGATTTTGTCATCAATTACTGGTTTTGTTTCTAGAACCAAATAGAACTACTGCGGAATCAAACAGTTCATTTTCTACATTAAAAGAACACCATCCTGGCATTACAAATGAATCTAATCAAGGGGGTGAAAGGAAAAGCAATCAGAGTCAAGTGCAAGCCAACACGACAACTATGGGTAACTTTTCAACAAATGCTGGAACAGTTGGAATCACTAATCCAGAGAAAGGAACAAATTCGAACATGGATAATAATACTTCTGTAGATGGTGGATCAGTTATTACCAATAATGCAGAGAACAGAACAAGTTCTGCGAGACGACTTTTGGAAGATAAGAACTTAAAAGATTCTGAAGAAAGTGAATCTAAGACCAAGGATAAAGGTCATGAGGATGTTCATGTGGCAACTGTTGAAAATGATGAAACATTAGAAGCTGATGCAGATTCATCCTTTGAGCTGTTCCGTGATAGTGATGAATTGGCTGATGAGTATAGCTATGATTATGATGACTATGTTGATGATTCCATGTGGGGAGATGAGGAGTGGAGTGAAGGACAGCATGAGAAAATTGAGGATTATGTGAATATTGACTCACACATCTTGTGCACTCCTGTGAGTCTCAATTTCAATTATTTAAATGCCATTTTTTAAATTGTTGAGCTTTTCAATTGATGCGGGTGAGATGCTTTTGTGAAAGCTAAATGGCATATGGTTATCTTGATTTTGTCAGGTTATAGCAGATATTGATAATGATGGGGTGTCAGAGATGATTGTTGCCGTTTCCTATTTCTTTGACCATGAGTGAGTTCCTCGACATTTCCTAAAATATCTTGTTTGTTTTGCCACCATTTTAAGATTTAAAATTAGGTTATGACAGGTGCAATTAGTTTTTCGACATAGCTTTGATGATTGCCGTGGTATCTCAAGTAGAAGGTAATCAGTGTTTTATACTCAAGCTCTTGATATACTAAGCAAGTATTATTGGCTGATCATGCATGTGTATATGCATCAACTGGTTTTTTTTTTGAGATAAAAGTAAGTAGCAATATAAGAGAGACGCCAAGGGGGTGTAACCCATATACAATAAAAGGATTTACAGATATGTGAGAATATGTACAATAGAACCAAAATCGTCAAAAGAATCAAGATTGTGGCCAAGAACAATGGAGCCAAAAAAGTGCAGCCACTTATCCTTGATAGAAGCAAGATTAGTTTCTTTACTTTCAAAAATCTTATAGTTTCTTTCTTTCCAAATAATCTAGAGAATTGTAAGGGGAATAACTCTATGCCATCTTTTGTTCAATTTGATGCCTGCCCAAGCAAGCAGCTCACTATAACAGAACCAGAAATAACTCAGGAAATGTCAAACAACTTGCAAATCATAGTCCAAAGGAGAAGATGGTTACACGATTCAGCATTCTGTTTGCACATAATTCACCAGTTAGCCAGAACAATTCCTCTTTTCATGAGGTTATCAAGTGTAAGAATAGCACCCATAGCAGCTTCCCAAGCAAAAACAGAAATCCTAGGTGGAACGACAGAGGTCCAAATAATTTTATGGGGGAAAATGGATGTAGAAGCATTGCTGTCTGTCAAATTCCTGTATAGAGATTTAACAGAAAAGGAGCCTTTGTTGCATAAATTCCAGGTTAATTTATCAGACCCGGTGCCAATTTTTACAGTAGGCAGTAGACAAAGTAGATTTTCATATTCCACCACTTCCCAATCTTTCAAGTTTCTGATAACAGCCACATCCCAAGTCCGAGAAGTAGTAACCTCATAGGCATTTTCAATGAGCATAGTTTTCTCTCTAGCAATGCAAAAATATGGGGAAATTGGTTTTGAAAACTTGTTTGACCACACCAAGTGTCCTGCTAGAAGCGGATCTTATCCCCTTTCCCAATCACTCATATGCATCGACTGATGAGAATGCGTATGCATGTATTATTCTAAAAGAACTCTTGGACCTTTTTTTAAATAAAAAGAGAACTCTTAGTTGGATTGCTGGAGTAGATGGCCCCATGTCAACTGAATTCTATGACCTTTTTTTTTTGGTTATTTACAATTTTGGTCCTAACTTTTGACATTTCTCTAAAATGTTTACTGAACTGGTCCTTGATCTTTAAAACTTCAAAATTAAGCTCTCAACTTCTTCTCGCAATCTGTTTCTCGTACTGTCCATTTTGTTAAATTCTGAGGGAAATCCAGTGTGGCTGTCACTTGGGATCCATGTCATTTATTGATGTGATACCAATATCCATGTTCAGACAAATGAATGGATTATTTTTAAATTTGGTCAATGAATTTTACTCATTTTTCTTTAACATGGTTTATGACCTTTAAACTTAAATTTTAGGTCTTGACTTCTTTTTTTTTTTTTCCTTGATTCGCTCCTTCTATTACTGTACAAATTAACTCACTGATGGAAATCTCACTTGATAGTGACATAGGTAAAACTAATTTTGAGTAGCAGAAATACATCTAATTATTGTGTTTGAGCTAACTTGAAACGATCACTATGAGGCCACAAGTGAAAACTGTCTAGGCTGATCCGCCATTAGAAAATGATGAAATACCATAGAGCGTAACAGCCTCTTGTATAATGCAGTCACCACTTCATCACACTCTTTTCCAAGCCTCAACACTGACTCTTTTCTTTCTTCCTTTTCCTTCTCATCCTCTCCTCTCTGGCACCACCAAATCCACATCTATACCTCTCCTAGCTTCACGTCCTTTCACTTCTTGTCACAGTGTTACCAAGTTTTTGACTTACCAAGACATTTTTTTTTCAGAGAAAAAAGTAGTTGCACACAATGACAGGAAAAAGTCCTAAAAACCCATGTGTTTTGAATTATTCAATTAATCCCCAGCATGAATTTTGTCTTTAGTTAGGTCCTGTAGTTTGAAATTTGTTTAGATTAGTCCTTCAGTTGGCAGGAAATCAGACAGCTGTTTGATTGGGAAGCTACTATGGGCTGTATTCTTACTTTAGATAACCTCATGAAAAGAGGTTCTGTTTTGGTTAACTGGTGTACAATGTGCAGGAAGAACTTAGAGTCTTGCAACCACCTTCTCCTATGGTGCTCTGTTGCCTATGAACTTTGGTCAATGATTTACAAGCTGTTTGGCGTTTCCTGGGTCATTTCCAGGTCTGTTAAAGGCGAATTGCTTGCTTGGGAAGGACTCAAGACGAGGAATAGATGGCATAGAGTAATTCCTCTAACTATTTTATGGATTGTTTGGAAAGAAAGAAATTGTAGGATTTTTGATGGTAAAGACACAAACTTTACCATTATCAAGGATAGGTGGCTTCATTTTTTTGGTACTATTGTACTTGGTCACAACCTTGACTCTTTTGAGGATTTAGGTTCTATTGTAGATATTCTCACAGAGCTGTAAATCCTTCATTCTTGTAAATGGGCTACATGCCATTGGCTTCTTTTTTAATACCACTACTCTCTTTTATCTCAAAAAAGAAAAGGAAATCGGACGGCTGTTTGACCCTTCCCAACATCCATTATCTTATGCCTACATGGCATCTGGTGTGGCCACTTTTTTTCAGAATTTGCCTCCCCCATGCACTCACATGGATGTTGTCTTGACAAAAAGTCTAATATTAAAAATATTAAAAAATAAAAAGATATGCTTACACTGTCTCTAAGAATCTTAAACTTTAACTTAAATTTCAAACACTTATTTAATGCCTTCTTTACTTTTACTTCCCCACTAACCAAACAAAAAGAATCAAAAGAAAAAGAAGAAAAACAAGTTCGTCATCTGAAAAAATTCTCCTTTCATCATACTCTCTTTCTCCAATCTTCTTCTTCTACTTAAGTCCCTCTCTTTTCATCATATATCTTATTTAGCACAATTTTTGTTCATTTTCCAATAACAAATAGAACAAACAAAAAGAAAAAGAAAACAAATTGATCATCTTCGCAATTCTTATTTCAACACAATCTCTTTATGTTTTTCTCTTGATCTTCTTTGTACAGTACTTCATCCCTTTTGTTTCGCCAAAATGGCCTAAGCTTCTCGATTGTCCTTTCTTCCTGTCACTGGTGATTCCTCCATAACACCTATTGATTCTCTCTCTTCCATGCTGAAACCCATATTGCTAGATTCAGAACTTCACAATGGAAGAAGGGGTGGGTTTGTCCAAGTTGGAGGTGGGATTAATGGATTTGAAGCAAATGAACTGTGCCATCACGTGTATCTTAGGGTATCCTCACTGTCTACCTCTTGGGTGATCAACAACAATTTAGCAAGGACAAGATTATGCAATTTGTTATGATGGGGAAGCAACCACTTAACCTTAGGGGCTCTTGGTTTTTCCCCAACAAACTATGCCTTCAAGTAGAAATCTGAAAATAGACAGTGGAGACTCAACATACACTCTCACTTTATCCTCCTTGTTTTTTGGTTTTTCATCGGGTTAGTGATTTTGAATGACGGGTTTTAATAACTTTGAAGACAAAAGTCCAAGTTTATTTTTTTTTTTTAGTTTTTGTTTGGCGGATTTGAATGATTAGCACATAGAATTTTTATTAATATAAAACATTTTTGTCAAAAATTAAAAATAATTATTACATGCAAATGGAACATCACCGTCATGGGTGCAAAAGTTGTTACATAATCTAGCATGTTAGCAAAAAAAAGATGGATTGAACGATTATTTAAAAATAATTATTACATGAACATGGCATGCCACTGTCATGGGTGCAAAAATGTCATGTAATCTAGCATTTTAGAGAAATACATGACAAATTAAACACTGAATAAATGTGTGTTTGTGTTTCTTTCATGGAAACGATTTATTTGAACCAAACTCAAAATTTCATGACTTATTTGAACACAAAAAACTTTTAGGGGCTTAATTGCATAATTCTGAAAGGTATAGGGGCTGATATAGGCTTTTGGCCTATATATATCTATCTTATTAATGATGCATGAAAGAGGTATCACTTAATTACCAAAACCTTTACTGATACGTCTAAACATTAATTAGGTCCCCCAAGTCCAGAGACAGATTCGGTTGGTTTGGCAAGGCCGCTAGGTTGTAGGACTATCAATTTGTCAATCAAATATTTGGGGTGATCTTTGGATGCTAATTTTAAAGAAGTGAAGACGTAAGATCCTTTGTGGATAGGTTTGAATAGACGTTGGTAGGGTGAAAGAGAGCCCTCCTTTGGCTCATGCTCATTGAAAGCACTCAGGGTAACTTACCTATTTAATATATGTCCCTTTTTACAATCTCGGTGAGTGTGATTAAGAAATTGAAAGTTATTCAAAACAGGTTCTTATGAGATGATGCGGAGGGTGGAAAAAGTCTCATTTGGTGGCATGGAACAAGTTAACAAAGCCACTATCCCTTGGTAGTTTGGGATTGCGGTTCTTGGTGGAGATGAATGAGGCTTTACATGGTAAGTGGTTGTAGAAGTTTATGAAACAAGAAGGTATGCTTTCGAGAAAGGTGATAACAACAAAATTTGATAATGATAAGAGAGGGTGGTTCACCAGAGTGGAGTCAAGACCACATGAGAAAGACTTGTGGAAAAAGTTCGGCCTAGGCCGACATAAGTTCCAGGCATGCATTAGGTGGAAGGTTGGCAAGGGGTATAGAGTCAAACTATACGAGGATCAATGGCTGGAAGGCGGTAACCTCAGATTTTCGCAGTTGCCCAACAGAAAACTATTAAGATTTGTGACTCTTTTGTGGAAGTGGGTGGGAGCGAGAAGGAATGAGAAGTTTTTCTATTGAGAAATCTTAATGACTGGGAGGTTGGCGAATATGAGAAATT